CTATCAACACTGCAGTACCCGCTGCTTACTTGGACTCGAATTCAACCCTGGCCATCAGGCGCAAGCTCGGTGGTCTAGAGGTATGATGCCTGGCTAGTGATCTGGAGATCGTGGGTTCGAGTCCCACCCGAGAACAACTTGCGATTTTTTCGCAGTTGTTTCAAATGTACTGACTATTCGGTACATTTCCACGTCAGGTAGGGCAAAATTACACCTATACAGTAATGTTATTGTTAATTATTATTATTTTTTAAATTTTATATCTTATATCCGTGTTTTGTAGGATCCCCCGGGTAGGATCACCGCAAAAAAAAACAAAAAAAAAAAACACGACACTTTAGAGGGCGCAGTACTCTTTCTGCATTTTATGCAGCATCGCCATGTGGATGAGCTGCGGTGCGTAAGGTCCTATGTGTTCAGTGAGCAGTAGAGTGTTTCTGATTACATTATTTTATACAAGAAATTAATGATAAATCAATTATGCCTGAATTAGAATTAGAACATGTTCAGCTTGGGTTCGTTGGTGCTGGTAATATGGCCCAAGCTATGGCGTTCGGATTTGTAAAAACTGGTAGGTAGGCTGAGATTAGGTTATGCTGGGAGAATGAATAGCCTAGATAGCTCAAACAAGAAGGCCTGACCCTAGCCTTAGCTGTCAAGTGCCAGTGTGTGCATTTACTAAGTAAAGGATATGCTTAGGCCTAGGCCTGTGCCTAGTTAAAAGAGGAGCTAAGCCTTAGTGTCACTTCTACCAAACCCAAATCGACCCAATTCAACTCAAATGTCACCTATTAAGTGTAATTTAAAAAAATATTCTCTGAAGTATTCACATACATTGCCGATTGGACCAAAATTTGGCTGGCCTACAAATAGATGCAGACCATATCATATAATGATTTATTATTTATTTTTACATTTTTACAGGACTTTTAACTGCTGACCGTGTTTTTGCAAGTGCACCCAGTGATAGAAACCTTGTGAAATGGAGGGTACTGTGTATATTCATCTTTTCCTTGATGTAGAAATTGTTTTTCTGATTATTGCTGTGTAATAAATGGAAAAATTAGAGTATGACATGTTGCAGATCGAAAATATTATATCCCAATAAATTTTTGGCAGACAGACTAATGATCTAGTAATATAGGCCCCATACTCTTATGTTTAATTGCACAGATTTGGCCCTTATTTTCCGAAATGCGCGGGCAGATTTCTAGGCAAAATTTTTGTGCAGAGGATATATTCTCCATGCATGCCTTGCTTTACAGTCTGGAAGGCCTATGACTATATTAATTTGTTCAAAAATATACATTCGTATGTCAATAACTCATTATTTTTAGTGTTGCTGTGAGAAGGACCTTTAACTTTATCTCGTGTATGTTCTTGGACCTCAGGCAAAAGGCATGAAAACCACAAATGATAATCGAGAAGTGGTAAGGACCTGCAACATGGTGTTCCTGGCCTGTAAGCCCTACCAGCTTGGTGATGTTCTAGCAGAGATCAAAGGAGAGATCTCAGAGGATAAGCTCCTTTTATCTGTAATTGCTGGGATGGATATAAGCTTTATTGAAAACGTAAGCACATATACTATATAGTAACGAATGTTGTATTTTGTAACACACTTAATGTAGATTCCTGTCATTTGATTGGTGGATTTCGTATCAGGTGACATTGGTTATTCATCCCATTTCGTCACTCATTGAAATTTATTTGTACAGCTTGGTATCTTTTATTCAAAATCTTTATAAAAAATAAAATTAAGTTGGCAAAATAGAGTTCCTCAGCTAAAAGTTGAATTGGGGATACTCTTTACAAGCCGCCAATGGAAAGCATCAGTCAAATACAGAATTACCTAATAAACTAGTAAGTTCGCAAGGAGGGCAGTATACAAGAATAAGGTTATTGGTTACTGTGTTTAAAAATTCTAATTATATTTTATTTGATTTTTAGTCAGATTCAAGTAAGCTTGTGAGATATGGAAGAGGACCTTTTTTAAATCTAGTCCCATCTGTGCATTGTCCATTTGCTTTTTCCAATGCACAGTGGTTAGGAGATGTAATGACGTAAACTTATTACAATTTTTTGACTGGTTAAAAAGATGGGGTACTGACATTTTCCAGAAGGTTAAATTCATGAAATGATGACACATCGCCTATATCTCAGCTACTTCTGGCTGAACTTGTGTGTACAATGTATCAGAGATTTTGTTAGCTGTAATTTGCTGAATTCGGCCCTTATTTTCCGAAATGCATGGACGGATTTCTAGCTTAGGGCCTAAGCCCTGCTTTTACACGGAGGATGTAGCCTATTACCCGAGCAGGCAACAGGCCTTACTTTTACAGTCTGGGAAACTTGTTTGGAATCTATTTAGGTGTGTCATAAAACAAATAATGAATGTTTTGTATTCAGTCTGCCTTATTGAATGTAACAGTAAATCTTCCAAATCATGAAAAAATTATTCCCATTGCACTCATAAACATTCATTATTTATATAGTATATAGTTGATCAATAATAGTATATTTGTATAATTGAATGTTAATACTAATAGTTTTAATTGTCTTTATATAATTATTTATAATGGTATTTTTCAATTATTATAATTTGATTATTCACTGTTTATTTGTGTTGTATTTAAGACATCCTGTTATTGGCTTTTTGCTGTTGAATGATGATCGAAAGAAAAATAAATAAAATAAAATAAAGTAAACTTTAGTAGTATAATATTAAATTATTGAAGTATGATACTTATTGTTATTAGATTTAAACAAAAAATATGATCCGAACTTAACAAGCAATATTTAATTTAATTGTTATGCTGTACTTAGAATCTTGGAGTAAAATGCAAAGTTGTCTGGGTCATGCCATCTACACCATGCTTAGTGTTAGCTGGTGTCAGTAGCTACTGCTGCAATGATGCCGTTTCCAAATCTGACAAACAGCTTGTGGAGTTGTTTTTGTGCAAGGTTGGCATGTGTTTTGAAATTCAGGAACGACTCATGAATGCAGGAGCTATATGCTGTGGAGCTGTTCCAGCATTTGTAAGTTTTGTTTTAAAATATTAACACAATTGTATTGATATGAATATTCATATTATTACCATATTATTTTTATATGTTGTACTGTATATGCTTGTACTCGCTTGAGGTGTTAAGTAGTGGATTGATAGGCCCTCATGGTGTCATGTAAGCAGGTTTGTTTGAGTGAAACATAGTCAACATTGTAACAAACTAAAGCAGTCACTCCATATAACAATATGCAGGCCGTGTTTAATGGGCAACATTGCAGCATATCAATGAAATAATGGAATTGCCCATCATATTCAGCCACATTATAGTTTCTTGAGTGGTGCAGAATACCCTCAAGAAAATAATGGAATTGCCCTTCGTATTCAGGTACATCGTTTTCTTGAGTGCTGCCTGAATATGTGCGAGGGTAAAAAATCTAATTTCTATAACCCTGACTTTGTCCATTGATGTTTTCTTCTGAAAATTGAATGGTGTCTTTTTTTTATTATTATGTATGTATTATTCCACTAAATTTTATGATGATTTATTCATTATTTTTTGCGTAATCTTGTTAACAGTCCGGCAGAAAAAGAGAAAGACGGACAGAGAGCAGTGAATACTTAACCTCCTTTTGGAGGTAATTAGTGTCCACTTGATGTTAGCAAAATGATGTGTAAGGTGATAGGATGTCATCACAATTCACTTTTATTTTTTAAGATATAAGATTTTATTGTTATAAGTGAAATTGTATTTAGTGACCAAAATTTTTTTTAGTTGTTCACAGCGGCTGATGCATTAGCGGATGGTTCTGTTAAAGTTGGTCTACAGAGGGATCTTGCTCTCAAGATTGCAGCTCACAACTTGATTGTAAGTCACCATTTTCATCTTGCCTATCTTAGATTTATGGCCTTAACTTGTTTCGCATTAAATGACTAAAGCCAGGGACTCAACTTCGTTGTATGACCTGCGCACGACAGATGAAACTCCACGCCCTGCGAGCACTAGATGATGCAACGCTGTCTGCTGATTGTTCATGGCAGTCTGAATGGATCATCATTAAAAATGATCTGTTACGCGTGTCGTCGTGTTGCGTCCTCTATAGAATCGAGGTGGCCAATGACTGCCAGGTGCAGTGGGTGTTCGGCTTAAGAAAGCACAGCAGCACTTATACAGGTTTTGGTACCTTTATTGCAGCACTTACAGTATTTGAGAGCGGTGAAAGTAAATCCTTGCCGAACCACTAGGGCTGATAGGGCTGGAGCTTATTCCCAGTTTCTTTAGCATGAACCGGATGAGAGTGTGGAGAAAAATTTGGTGCTGCAATTATTCTTGAGTGGCGCTTAATGGACCTTTTCAGCTAAGCCCCGCCCTCTTTCCCCTTGGTCCCACTAAACGACAGTGTAAAAACCATACACAAGCACATGTATTTGTGGGCCTACATGCACATATTCCTGGCCTTGTTCTGATTTGTCAGTTGTTAAGTTTGATTGACACTCCAGAAAGGTTTATTGAGAGAATACAGCATTGGTAGAGAAATAGCATGGCCAGTAACCATTTTTGATTATGTTTACTTTCAGGGTGCAGGAAAAATGATGCTGGAGACAGGTCTGCATCCTGCGCAGCTGAAGGACAATATATGCTCTCCAAACGGGGCAACGATCTGCGGAATTCATGCCTTGGAAAAGGGGGGCTTCCGCGACTGTTTGATATCTGCAATTGAGGATGGAGTTCAAAGAGCTGAACGCATGTCTAAAGATTAGATTATTTATAATTGATTACATTTTCAACTCATTTAGAATTTAGTCGGTTTGTACTTGTTAGCACTAGTAGATTGGAAATAATGGATGACTGCAGCCACTATTTCCAATAATCTTATGAATGACCAAAATTTACATGATATATGTATTTAATTTAATATTAAATCATCAAATATTTAAAATATGGACAAATAAGTGAGAATATAAGCAGGCAAAGTGAAAAATATAACTTATCCAACTACCAGACAGGGTTGCCAGTAAAGTAAACTTAGTTACTGTCAGTATGGTAGACTAATATAAATACAAGAAAACTATTGAACAAAATTAGCTTATACACAAATATATATATTTTCAACAAAATCACCTTACACTTAAAATAAATAGTAGTTTAACTTATATTTTAAATACTTAATCCACTTTTCACTGGCAAAATAGTTAAGTAGATTCCTGAGAAATATATTTATGTTAAAAAGATGTTCTTTAATTTCAGTAGGAAGATTATCATAGGTGTTTCAGGGATCTTTTTTTCTGGGTTACAATTTATACAGGACAGGGTCTTATAAAATATAATAAATAGGGTGGTGCTTTTTTTGGTTTGATCAGAAACTAACTATTCAAGTCCTGAAATAGTTTTTATAATTGTTTTTATATTCTATAAAGCAATGGAATTTTATGATACTTTCCCCAGGATGTTGTTGTAAGGTCCTACATGACGACAGTGTATGTTGGTGGTGGGACATGTGCATACTCCTGGCTATTGAATAACAAATTCTAATTGGCTAGTTGCTAAGTTGGAGTGCAAGTCAGGCAGAGGTTTGCGACGTGTACTAGCTAAAAAGCATGTACAAGGACACGCGTGTACACATTTTTCGCCATGTTCAATATAAAAACAAAGAGGCTTGGGCAGGTTTAGGTCACTGTTAATTCATTATTACTGCCTAGAATGTTCAATAAATCTTATTTATGCCATATTTAATGCACAAGAATGGGAAAATTTAGCTTAGCATAAGCCATAATTGCGAAAATCTCTTAAAATCCTGGAAAATATAGAATTTTGGGGGGATTGGGAGATGAATTAAAATTGCTGGAGACTCCAGGGCAATCTGGGAGACTTGGGAGCTCTGCATTATAAATCGTCATTGTCTTCCATTTATATAGCGCATACTACAATGCAATGTCTCTATGCGCTTTCAAACCCAATGTTATGACCAAAAAAAAAAAAATTTGCATGTGTTAGTAGTTTTCAATCAATAAATTTACCAGGGGAATATTTGAACTTGCTTTGCTAGAAAATATGGACAATTCTGGGCCATGTTAACAACTTCTGTTTCTTTTTTTTTTTTTGCACTCATTAGGCTAATCTTGATGGGGGGGGGGGGAATGCGATCAGTGTTTTAAAAAATGTTCAAAGATTTGCCTTTATTAAAAGATTAAGGCCAGACAATGCAATAATTATGGAAATAATAATTATGTTACCTACTCAATATTATGACAGCATAGCCACATTTTAAGAGGACTACCCAGCTAACAATTTTACATAATAACGTTGCAGTTTGGTTTAAAAAAGATTTTTTTTTTGTATAGCCATTAATATGTAATTTCATAACACAATTTGTGACTTGATATTCTTCGCTACAACATTGTGTTAACGCTAATCTGTTTTCTGACTTAACATAACCACGATGTTCATGAATAATATGGTGACGTTTTTGTGTTTTTGCCCTTTTGTTGTATTGATGATCCTTTAAACACTGAGAACTGATTAAAACATAACTACAGTATTTCTAAATTACTGTACGACTTCAATGCACTGTAATGTACTTATAACTAATAAAAGATATCTTTATGGACGAAAACATGAGACTAAATTATTTTTGATGGCTTGCATTACAAACAGAAAAAAAACGACTCAAATAAACCTGATAAAAGCTATATGGAATTATTTCAAAGATATTTTACCAAATACCTGTTTACAACAATTGAATATAAGAGATTTAAGGTGTTTTTCTACTGCGGATGATGCAGAGAATAAAAAACATCCATACTGAGTTTTAATGGTACGATATAATCAACCGAAAAAGATCTTGGTTTAAACTAGGGAGTTGGTTGATCCTGGTTTGAACACATGGTTATCCGGCATCTAGGAGAAGTGTAGTTTACATAAATTAATAATAATAATTTAAAAAAAAACAGTGGTGGACCATCCATCATCGTTTAACAATAATGTGACAATTTTTTAAAACTCTTAGTATTGTAAGTAGGCCTAATTAATACGAAAATGCATCGGTTGGACAGGAATTATGAAAGGGGAATTCCCATACCATTATATCGATGGCAGAGGGCGGTATTAGGCTTCTTATCCCTCTGGCCTTACCATCCGACGCCGACACGGACGGCAGAGAGAGCGGCGCGTGTTTTGTTGTTTGGCGAATTTGCATGAGGCATGGATTCATAATTATTAATAATCTGCACAGTGCAGAAAGAGTAAACTAGGCCTAGGCCCACTTAAGCTGTAATGTAAGTACTTTTATTTTGCCCCTCATTAAACTACTAGGCTACTAACATCAGCCTAGCTAGGGCCTAGGCTAGGCTAGGCCGGTTTGGCAAGTACGGTAAATAGGCCTAGCTTACTTACTAACTTAGGCTAGGCCAGGCCTACTAGTAGGACCCTACTAGCCTCTAGGCTTGTGTAATACAACTACACTAGGCCGGAAGCAGGACAACTCAGCCCCAAGTCAACTCGGCGCCATGGAAAGTTTAACTTAAAATCCCCATTCCCTACAAAATTTCACTAAAAAACTGTTTTCCAAAATAAATGCATTGCATTACAGTACTCTCTCGAGTAGCCTAGCCTAGGCCTAATTATTATAAAAACCATTGAAAATTTGGCATAATTTTAAAATATGTCGGCCATTTTTTATGTCTGATAACAGAACCCGTAACTCAAGGTAAGACAAGGCCTAGCCTATCAGTGTTGCTTGGCTAATGTTTCTGGCGCCTACTAGGCCTCCCCTACTAGGCTATATTTATTTCGATAGACCTATCGCAAAATCAAACGTAAGCAAATTCATCTGCTTTTATTTTTCAATCAAATTTGAGTCATGCATTTTTTTCATGTTAGGGATTGTCTAAATTCACTTAAACCAGCAATTTCTTATTATATTTATAAATCTTTCTAACATGTGTAAAAATCTGATTTTTTTTTGACAAATGAAAATTTGACGGGAATGGGGCTATAAAATATGAAAACTGATACAACCGATTAAAATATAGGTTGATAATGCCTCCGTCTGGCAGGACAATTAGGCCTATAAAGAGCGTCAGTGTTCAGCGGCAGCTGTGTAATACTGTACCGACTTTGATAAACAAATACTAATTAAAAAACCTATGGACAATTTAAATTCATGAGCCATGTGAGAAGACACTATTTTTAAGTGACTAGTCACCAATACTCACCCTTCATATGGGCTGAGATGTATACAAACAAAGTGCAACCTTGATACAGTAAAGAAAAGATCAATAAATGGGATGTTCTTCTACACTAGTTTCAGGGATGTCTAGGAACCAACTGAAGTCTTCTCCTCGTCGTGGGCTCATTTACATAAACCTCAAATTCCCCACATGGGCCAGTCCTGACTTAGCTTAGAGCCGTTTCATTAATTGGAGTTCCCACGCCATGATGCTGTTCCAACAAATAGGGAGAAATTTCATTAAAATATTGATTCTTCTGAACTTCCTGAACATATATCTTACACTACAGCTGGAGGTAATGGATTTGACATCTCTTAACAATGGCTCCAAACAAGCAACAGACTACGAGGAGAGGCAACAGGTTATATCAGAACTAACCTCCTTTATTACACAGCATGAAGAGAATCTTGATGAGCTGATGGTTCAGTTAGATTGGACAAAAGAAAAAACAATGGTATGTTGATAATTCTTAATAACAAAAAGCTGAATTTAAATATATACTGCCACCTAACATCCTGTCCAGACTATCAAATTATATTTGACAAAAACATGTGACATGCCTTAATATGGTCATGATGATATCACATCATGACCATATATAGGCACATTGTGACTACAGTATATGGGCTTGTAACAGTGTTTTGTCAAAGAAAATTTGAGAATATGACAGAGCTTAATTCTAATAGTATTAATAAGCTTTAAAAAATTGAATTTGTTACATTGTATAGCTTGATAAGTTATTACTTTCCAAGTACAACAAAAACAATTCTTGGCAAGTAATCAAAGTTTAATTAAGACCATTCTTGTAGACATAAAGACGGAAGTTTGTGCCAGAAAATTTAATAAATTTTGTAGTGCAACAGGTCTGTAAGTTATTAAAATCTTTTCAAATCTATAATCTTTGATAATATTATGTGATTCTTTTACATGAACATTACAAGCTTTATTTTTTTTTCTGTATTTTAGGCGCCAGGATCTCTTACAAGTTTTCTGAAAATTAATCATGAATCTTAGATTATAATATTTTTGTTTATATTATTATTTTCATTACTGTACATTGAGTTGAAATGTAAAATATGAACTATAAATTAAGTAAATGCACAGATTGTATTGATTATCAAACTATCTTTTTTTGAAGTTAATGAAATTTTGTGTGTACTATAAATTTTATTATTGTATTTTCAATCCCTGTCATACTAATTCAATATCTATAACAATGCAACATTTTTCTCTTCTTTTAGGAGTCCAAACAATTGGTACAGTGTCCAGTTAATGACAGCCATTTTGTAGCAGAGGAATCGCTTAAACAACATGCTAAGCAGTGCCGTCTACACAGCCAAGACTACACTATAGAAGAACAGGTAAAAAAAGAGAAAATTAAAGAATTATCTAAATACGAACACGGCTTAGTATCGCATTTCATTGTTAACCCAACACAGTGACTTAGTGAAAATGCCAAGTACCATAATATATATGCTAATCAAGTAATTTTCAGATCAGTTGTTATGTTTGAGTGTTATACTGAGTGGTATATTGAGCACTTGCGGCTGCACCATTTTTGGATCACTTTTTACACTTATTGAGGTATTACCATCTCAACAAGTTATTTATATATTTATTATCATCTACTGTAGCGGCTTACTTGAACATATTTTGAAACATTAAACAATCACCTTCACTTGACAGTTTTAAGTCACTACTCGAGACGCACCATTTTTAGTAATTTCTTTTTTGGAACAGCACCACGAGCAATGACTGTTGGATTGATTGATTGATTGATTGATTTCAACTATATTTACACTAAAATTATTATTGTTGTCATAGTTATTATCATTATTAGAAATTGATAAAAGTACTTGTTTTTCTTATTATTTTTCTTATTAATTTTCAAATTTGTTCTTTCAGCAAGAAATGCAGTCTTTGGATTGGTTGTATTCAAAAATGAAAAATGTAGTCCCAGTGAAAATAGGTAAGTTTTGGTAATGATGACACTGTTATCTAAAGGCCAACTCAGCGACGACAAAGAGCTCATAAGTTTCACCTCTGATTATTATAACTTTCTTGACTTGTTTATTTTAATAATTCCTAAATTTTTTAGCAAGTTTAGGATGCAGTTTTTAAAGTGTCTGAAGTTTTGGTGGTTTCATCAAATTCTTGTATCCAAGTTGTTTCTATAATATTTTGCTGAACATATTGAAATTGTGTTAATATCTAAAGGTCAACTCAGCAACGTATGACGCAGTCTGACGTCAGCAAAGAATTCAATTTAACTTCCGATATTTATAATTTCTTTTTTTGACTTTATTATTTTAAAATCTCATAATTTGTTAGCAAGCTTAGGATGCATTTTTAAACATCTCTGAGGTTTCCGTGGTTTCATCAACTTATTATGCCCTAGTTGTTTCTATAATTTTTTACCACGCATACTGAAATTTGACTTGCACTACCTTGATTTATAGCTATGTTTTGACTTATGTTTGCCATTGTGTGTTAATTACAGATTTATTTAAAAATAATAATGTTTGTGGCAAAATTGGTTAAAGTATGTACAATAATGAAATACATATCATATGAAAAATATATTTCAGTAAAATTTAGCTACATGGAATAAAAATCATGAGTTTTTTTTTTATGTCAATGAATAAGTAAAAGGAATTTGTAAAAATTAAAAAAAACTTTGTTTTTCAGATGAAAAGCTACAATCCACAGTTCTTACCCAGGCAACAGGTAATTTTTGTGTGTATTTATATAGCCTTTTTATGCTGTTATGTTCAAACAACTTATTATTATATTATTATTTATATTATTAGGACTGTTCTCCTGAAATATGGTTGAATAAATTATTAAAACCTGGATGCCTTACAAATTGAGAACCTGAATTGTAAACACTAAACAACAACAGTGTCTGTGTTTTAAGTAAATTTAGTTCTTTTTTTTAAATCTAAAATTGTTCTCCAGGTTTCCAGCAATATGATATGCTCAGACTATCATTCAAAATGGACTTGAGTCATATCAGGTTTCAATTTCTAGTCTAAACACAGCCTTACATTATGGATAATATTGTAACTTTGTAGCAAATTTGGTCACTTTAAAAGAAATCAATGAGGCTAATAAGAACCAAAGTACATAAGACTCATTAAAAAAAATTGTATGTCAGTCCTAGTGAATCAAGACAGCATGTGCCTCAGATTATTATCTCCAGTGGCAGATCCAGGAATTAAAAATAGTAGGGGCCCTGGGAGGGAATCACAGATGAAAAGTCTATACCACCTCAGCCCCACCATAGTTGGGGCTGATGTTCAAATGGCTATGGCACTCTCAGACTTAAATTTTAATATAATTTTCTCTCTTTTTTTAATGTTTTTTTTTCAAAATTTAGAGGGAAACCCAGCCGGCTGCCTCACACCCCCTCTCCCCAGGAGCAGCCTATGATCCCATTCATTGAATCACACACTTATGGAAAACTAACTCAGTTTCTTAGGGGCAGAATTTCCTAATGTTGCACCTAGTAGTCTGCTGGGTAAAGAGCCTTGACCAAGGATTCAAGCGACAGGCAATTAAACCCCAACCTTAAAAGCACAAATCACAGCCGCTGGCCCAACCGCTCACATTATTAATATTATTATTATTATTGTTATTATTATTATTATTATTATTATGGCATAGTATTTATACTTGTAATTTGTTGTTTTTTTTAAACATATATTTATCCAGGATACATTATGGCCACTATAGAGCCCTTGCATTGTTTACATACATGCACTGATATTAGTGCAATTGCAGCAAAAACAATCAAGAAATTACATTGAATGAAAACTGTAATCTTTGATTTGTTTACAAAAAATAGGATATATGAATGTAATTGTAATTCAGATATATGACCAAGAGTCAACAGAAATATGAATGTTAAAATAATTTTATGGCATTTAACTACTAAATAGTAAATTGTAAAGTATGTATGTAACGAGGTGACTGGGTGAGTCGTGTCATAAAAATTGCTGCATATGTAAATTTGTGAAACATTGAATCTGGCCATTGCCTTAAAATTAGATAAAATATAGCAACACTAATTATTTTGTATATTTTTCATTTCTTAGCGATTCCTAATATATATGGACGTATTATATCTTCATTTCATTCGTGCATGTGTTCTTATTTCTTGTAGAATAACTAAGATCATCAACTGTCCATGTTTCCCACTGTAATTAACTAAACTGTCACTGTATTTTCTGCCTGCCAGGCATTGGCACATAAAGTTCACTCATGTAAACATGTTGGGTATGAGTGCATGCTATTTTCTCATCAGGCTTTTTCACAGCATTACCATGTATTTTTAGATACTATCAATTGGTGAGTCTATCACTGTTGCTTGTATGAAATATTTACAAGTGACGACCCAGCCCTACAAATGTCGATGCTAATTCACTGCAATAAGGCCAAATTGACAACCATCCAATCACATAAACCCTATAAAATCTCCATTTATTCACTTGATACGGGAATAGTCGTAAGTAAACTGGTTTAAAATACTAAAGAATGTGCACATTATAATCTTCATCAAATGTATTTTGTCTTTTCAGCGATGATTCTCATCAAATCTGAGCTTCACATTCTCTATTAATCAATGCAATACTCTATCAAATATCCTTAACTGTATCCTTAATGAGACTTTATTTATACAGGTCATAGTTCATATTGTATTGGGCGAGAATATTCACTGCTCTGTCCACACTATAAAAGTTTATGTGTGACAAATATTAACACCCTGGCCGCCAAACACGGAGATCTCCGTGTTTGCTGACGCAACGCTCGACCACCAATTTTCATTTTACTGTTACGGGTCACCGATTGTGATTAGAATAAAATGTTTGGTACCATTGTAAAGCTAACATGTTTGTAGTTCTTGTAGTGTTCACTACATGCCAATCTGCTCAACATACACACTCTCAACGAGCTTCGGAAAAGTGTTAACATTTGCTAAAATGTCTGACGGTGGCTGATAATATTTTTGCAAACCGCTGGCGGTCAGAGTGTTAATGTGATATAACCATGTTTGGGTGTAATATGACATCATTGTGCCTATATATGGGCACAACACACATGTGTCACATATAATTTAAATTATTTGAAATTTAAAAAAAGAAAAAGTTAGGCCTGTCAACTTACAATATTGAGATGAAAATAATTCAGTTTTGTATTAAATACAAATCATCCTTAAATTAATAGGAAAGATATAATAATAAGTGATGTCTCTTAATACTGTGCTTCAGTTGTGTATTATATGCAAATACAGCATTGAAGTTATTACTTAGGTTTATAGCTCACTACAGAGGGTAGAGTATATCTTTAAATTAGTTAAGGGTCCCACATGGATAGATGTAGTAGTAAAGACAGTTTGGAGGAACAGGATTATAAATGTATATGTATATAAATAAATACTAATAATTACAGAAAATACTGAAATGGTACTTGAACCTGTAAAGATATTACGTTGTATATCTTTACTTATATTAGATTAAAGGCTGTTAGACAGCTTGCATTACTCATGGACGTTGAGAGAGGGTAGCATTTAGTTGCCTGACGTTTTGATTCTGACCAAGACATTTTGACTCGGACTGATATATTTCTATTAATTTTCAGAAGAAAAAACATAACTATACTCGCAATTAAATCGAGGGGAGAAGAAAGCATCTGTGTAGGAGACCAGAAATATAAACAATAAAATAATAATATGCCAACTGATATAAAAAATTAAGGAACAAAAATGTACAAAGCTGTGATTTAATCTTAAGCTTAAAAACAAATCAGGTGTTGGAGAACAAATCAAAGCATAAATCTAAAACAAAAAGTCATGTTTTGTTGAGCTACATTGAATATGAAAAGAAAAAACAAATGTTAAGTACAAAAAGGATACCAAACTGACAAGGTCAAAGATATCTATTTATTTAAAAAAAAAAATTATATTTTAAATCAATATTAATGCTCATTAGATATGAAGATTTATTTAATAATTTTATTTTTTTCTCAAAGGCTTTCACTCGCAAAAACCTGTTGCTTTGACAGCGGAGAGAGAGGTCACAAACCTTACACCAATGGAAAGAGCATTCATGCATGACTATGTGGTAAATGCTGCTAAAAAGTTGAGGAGTGATCAAGCCCTAAGTGATGATTTGACCGGCGACCCAGAACTCAGGCTGAAAGGTGAAAGCTCATGCTCAAACTCCATAGATATGTTATACTATTTTAATTTCAATTGATATGATATTAATTATTAATTTTTTAATGGAGTTTCTTCAAAGTTTATTTAGATTAATTAGATTAATTAAATTAAATTCTTCATTTAAATTTATTCACAACCCTTCGTACTTTGGTTTAACTGTGATGTGATTAGTTATAATTTATGGTACTCTCTGCAGAAAAAAAGAAAGAGCCAACAACATATTTAGAACTGCTAGCAGCCCAGAGGGACTACAAGAGAAGAAGACAGACATACAAAGGGAAGTCAAAGGGAGTGACGTCAAACAAGAAATCGCAGACAGAGGTTAGTAATAAGCTTCAAATTTGGCTCATTGTACAAAGGTAGATTGCGTTACAGCAGGGAGAATTGCTTGAGTAGAGCTGTAGGTTTGGTGATTAAATATGAGCACCTTGCCTTCCATTCCAAGCATCCTGTAATACATTAGGAATTCATGTAATTAAACTTCAATTGATGAATCCTTCAATTGAATATTTAGCAGTGGTTGCTCAAACATTCATGGGGAAAAGCTGCCTTATTTAAAGTGGGTTCTGACAATTTCCGGTGAAGGCCAGCATAGCTGCCAGGGACGAAGGTTCTGACAGAGGTCCAGAAAACTAATTCTACTGGCACCTTAATTTTGGGTCATTTTAAGCTTTTTTGAGACAATTTAGAATATATTATGCACAAAGAACTTAATTTTTTGGGTTAGGGTATCTGGCGAGTTATAGCTGATAAGGGGATTGGCCAGTTTAATGAAAGGCTTAATCCTTCTGATATTGCTGGCACTACCACTGATGATAATCCTGGATGTAAACAACTGCGATTACTGTAGCTTATTAATTATATCACATTTATTTTGCATTGCATTATCTATATGTGCACCATTGGCAATGTATATTACTTTCTTAGGATTTGTACAATGTATCACACAAAATATACTAATTACAGTAGATAATAAACTCCTATATAACTGCCTATAGGGTATCACATATATTTACCATTTAGGCACGTGCACAGATCTGGGAGAAATATATCATAGCATAATTCATTTAGGTGTCTTATTATTGGCATATTTTGAGTTTCTATTTATGTCCATTAAAATATTGTAAAAAATAATTTTACATGAAAACGAATTTAGAACATATTGGACAAACACTTTTCAGGCTACAAAAGCAACATGTGTGAGAATTCAGTATTCAAATTACTGTAGTTAAAACTACAGTGCAGTGGAAGGAGCAGAGTAATATTCAGTATATAGAAAGTGGAACGGTACCACTTCAGTGAGTGCAGTCTATACAAACGCATGTATTTTAAAATAGAATATATTATAAAGTGAAGGTAAAGTTTCATTTGCAAAGGTCTTTCTAAAATTATAGTTAAAGACGTAGCAGTATTCAATGTTATGCTTTAGAATATTAATCTTGTATATATAGCAATAGTACTTGGCCGTGTGCACTTCATAAAATGATTAAACATTATGATACTCCTGGGGTGGATTCAGAGGGGGTGATTGTCGCATGTCCGGACCTTCCCCTATCCCACCACTAACATGTTAGAGTGCTATTTTAGCAAAAGCCAAAAAATTGTACAGATGTAGATAAATAGTCAGCAGCTTCTTGCTTCTTTTAGGGGTGGGGAAGGAAGGGATCATTTAGAAGAATAATTTTTAGGCTAATGTAATATTGTTTTTGGCTTTCAAGTCTCTCAAAAGGTGGGAGAGTGACAAGACAGAAGACAGTTCCCCACACCTTTTAAACTTATTTCATTTATACAGGAGTGGCACTTTTCTGTCTGCACCTTCTCCTGCAAATAATTGGATCCATCCCAGTGCCTCACAACCTTGCAAAAAACCAACGAAGGTGACCTTAATAAGATTATGGTTTTGTCACAATCAATCCATAGATTTATGCAAATTGATACACTTGCAAATTGATGTATTATTGATTATTGAAGCTGTAGTAAAGTCTTGAAAAATTACAACATAGAATTGATTGTACAAAAATTTATCAAGATACAGATCAAAACAATTTAATTTTGTTTAGCTTAATAAAAATGGTATACTAAAGTACTTGAAAAGTATACTGATAAGATGAGGTATGCATATATTACCCTATGAATTATGCTAATTAGATTATGAGAATACATAGTCCAAAACAATTTAGTTTTTACTCATTTATTTTTAGAAATTTTACTACAAAAATCCGAACACATATACTGGTAAACTACTATCTAATTTAAGGGGTCTATGTAATGAATATATGAAAGTTACATGAAAGTTAAATGAAAAGGAAAATATGTGAGGTCTCACTACAAAATGAGTTTCATCGTTAGAAAATCAAAAAATGAGTTTATATTACATTTTGGTAGATCACATTATAACCTTTAATGTGGTCTTTGAATGGCTTCTCTAGGATAAATAGATCCAGAGATCCAGAGGCCTCAAAGATAAACTAACCTGTACAAATAATAGGACTAGAATTACAGAATATGCGAAAAGAACACTGTTTTAGTAAGAAATTACTTAAAAAGTACACAATCATAAAATATAAGTATCAAGTTATTCAAAAACATTAAAATCAAAATTTTGTAAAAATGTTGCCTTTGACCTATTTTGGTGAATATCTCAATATGATTTCACCAACGATGTCTTGTACACAACTGCATATTGGAAACAGATGGCAGTAGTGCTATTTGGCAGAACGGGAAATTCCCAATAAATGTTCTCAAGAACTAGGAAAGCAAAAACATGAAGGGTATTACCCCCAGAAAACACAATTCCGACCACCAAAAATATATAGTGTGGGGGAGGGAGTTTTTCACATTATGTTAATATATTATTAGAATTTATACAGACTAAACAATAAACATCCTTGGTTCCCAGTTTGTTTCAACGCTGATCTTGTGTTTCAGCTCAAGGGTTGAAATGAAGTATGATATAGAGCACTGGATTCACAAGAGAAGTTTAATACGTTTGCTGCCAGGGATGTGAGTTCATGTCTGACAGGGACACCAATGACGCAACTTCACATCCACCCCAGCTGTCTAAACATACCACTATTATATTGCATGTAAACTCCCTGGCAGCGGTCGCCAGAGCGTGAACTCTTGCCCAGGAGGTTCAGGGTAGAACTAGAAATAAATACTGTATGTTGTTCATGTTTCATTATAGTTGAATAGTTGATGAGAATGTTTTTCAGTATGGTGGCACCCTTTATGCCTTGGCGTATGGGATGAAACTGGGTAAAATGGTTTGGCAGTCAACGTGTTAAGCCCTTAGTCTGTGTGTAATATGACCCATCCACACATAAAGAATGCTGTACACTATTTTCTTTGAAAAAGAGTAAGGAATTACTGTAGGGAGTTTTCGCAAGCTTACGAAAATGATAACGAATACAGATACGTCATGAAATTTATATACAATCCCTCACCTACAGTAGCATACAGTACTGTATCAGTCAAAATGTAGGGGATTCATGGCTTTTGCATGAGTCATTAATCATATGCAGCTTGTACAACATATTGATAAGAATGTTCTAGGTACGAATGACGATAACGACAATGATGTATTCGTTGTCGTAATCGTAAGGTTGCAAAATCTCCCTGTTGTCTTCAGGTGTACTGCCCAATTCAACACCAAATGACCACACTGGAATTGTGTTTAGATTTCCATCAGTTATACTGGATGTGTTTTAACACCAAAGAAAACCAAATCATGTGATAACAGTACCTTTTGTAGGAACTGTTCTGTTAGAATGAGTACCAATCTCAATATCACTATGTGCCTAACTTTCAATTTCAATTTCCAGATTTTAAAAGAGATAATTGATATGCATATGGAGGAGCTTTTGGAGCAAACCAAAGTAAATGAGGATCAAGATGAGAAAGGACAAGATATGAAAAAGAGCAGGTAATTTAAGCTAACATGTAAAGTAGTTATGGAAGTAACTGTCAGTGATCATGTTTATCTATTTTCATTACTGTGAGCAAATCACACCAACTTAGTTACTATCTTGGGCAGGTCTAGGACAATGTCTTAGTTTATTTATCTACTTAGAATAGAATTTGCAATGTTGCTAGTCCAAACAAGGCAAACATTTCCCCATACATCACCTATTTATTTAAAAGGTTTTTGAATATTTAGGACAAGGTCTTAGTTTATTTACTTGAAATAGAATTTGCAATTTTACTAGCCAAACAAGGCGAACATTTCCCCATAACTTTTCATTTAAAAGGTTTTCAACTTCATTGTATTGAAAGAAAATGTTGTTATTTTTCATTTTTTAAGGCCATGGAAATGTCAATAGAAAACTTAATCATTTTGCTAAGTAGTGATCCTTTCACAAAACAAAGATACATGATTATAATTTAACTTATTATGATTTAATAACTAAGCAACAACAATCATTTTTTTTCAATAATGGGAATTAATTACTTATTATTTTGCACTTATCCATTAACTATATTCATCCTTTGACTGCAAAGTGAATGGATTAGAATGAACTGTTAATGAATGAATGTTTTCACATCTCTGTGGGATGTAATATTTTATTTAGCATTTGGACTACGGTAAGTATTTGCTTAATTTAGGTTGCAGTTAATGGGGTTTGATCATTGCGGATTCCTTTTAATGATGTATTGATTGATTGTGAATTTGTCTAAATTTGTCATTTCATTTACGCTGGCTATAACTGCCAAAGATAACCTGAATTGAAAGCCTGACAGTAAATAATATCTAGTTTGTGCATTTGTTATTGTTATAATTATTCTTGTAACTGTATTATGATTATTCTTTTTCTTATTGTTATTAATTTATTATGACAACCTATATTGTCATTAGGTCTGTGACATTGTACGCCCTCAATAGTGTTTGTCAGCTAATGCCCCCCTTGTAGCTGGTTCTTATTGCTGTCTATATTATTAGTGTTGACGATGCTGTTATTATTGTTAATTCTATTTTTTTCAATAAGCTAATTAAACATAATGCATGTGCAAATAAAATAAACCAGGTCAGTTATTAGTGCAATGTTTTACAATGAAAAAGAAGTAAAGTACCCATGCCTTTGAACTCTGTCCAGATTATAAATTTTCTTTGACAAAAAACTGTTGTATGCCCATATATAGTCATGATGTGCCTATATATGGTCATGATAGCGATGATGTGCCTATATGTGGTCATGATATATCATGACTTTGTTACTAGGTGAATTCAAACATGAATTACTATTAATCATTTTTTTCTTGCTGTTTATATAGAAGCAACTCCTCAAAGCATTCTTCACGAGAAGGAAGCCAGTGCGACAGCAGCAGTAGGTATTCCAACGAATCTAGTCCACAACGAAACACCTCACCACATAGGAGTGAAACCCCACCTCGCAAGCATCGCCACAGGCATCGAAGTAGATCACCGGATCCCCGAGAAAGGCGAAGCCATTCCGATAGAAAATATAAGAAGCATGAACACAGGGACCGACGCTAAACCAGGTAGAATTTTAGCTTTTGAATTTTACAACCTAAAAAATTTCATGATTTTGTGTATTATGATTTTTTTATACCCCATCATATCAAGAACACAGAGGCTCAGACAGACTTTTGATTTAATATAATATGCATTATAATAATTGAAATTCAGACAACTTATGAAAATAATTAACTGTAAAGGTGCATAAAACCTTAAGTTTAACTCGGGCTTTTTTGTGAAGTAAATTACAAAGAGCGCATGCCCCTACTCATTATGTATACAGTACTGCAGTTGTGTTGCACTTTAATAATTTTTATTTATTTGTTTTATAGATTCTATTTGGCTCTAATTAAAAATTTTTTTCAGTGCTATGCATTATTGTGCATTATTGAAGTTAATTTATTCTTGCATAGAATACTGAATTTGGCCCCCAATCCTACAAAGTTCGTAGGCGTAGCTCTAAATCTATTTGCCAGCCTAGCTACTTTAAAGTGACTTCAGATACAGTTGTCATCCGACTGCCGACTACTGTTTTCTGTGACAAATTCATGTTATTTGCCCATATTTGGTGTGGAATGATATTCCTATATATATGATGACAAATTATTTAAACAAAACAAGTTGTATGTTTTTTGGTTTGGGTTAACCCTTTTTACCCTTTTTATCTGTTGTACACGTCATGCGTACAACCATTAGGGAATAATCACCACTGTTTGCACATAATGTGTGCAAAAGTTCATCCTGATGCAATTGTTTACACACAGTGAGTGCGACAGTTCATGCGTGTAATATTTTTTACCATTTGTTTGCACACAAGCCAGGTTTAAATTATTTACACTTATAGAGTTATTTTTATATTTGCTTGTACATTTACTAGGTTATTAGTGATTTATTGACATATACTTAATAGTTATTGCATTGGCATGCACCAAGTTAATAGTCAATAATGTATAAGCATCTGTGTTAATAGTAAGGAATGATCTGATTGGCTGAAGTATGCACATTACATACCTATCTCTATAACTCAATATTTGTTGAAAGACTATATTGCTATAAAATATTAATGGAAAGTATAAAGTGTAATCAGAAAGATAACATACTAGATTAAATTATTATGGTCATTCATAAATAAAGAAATAATGAGGTTTTTTATTTAAAGGGATGCTAACCCTCTGTCTATATTGTCGCGTTTACTTTGAAAATATTTGTAATTTGGCCATCATGTGTGATATCATCTTTACCAGACGGTATGTGTGTGCATGTTCAGTATGCAAATCACATATGTGAGGTCCCACCACGAAATGAGACGCATCGTTGGTGAAATCATTTTGAGATAATCACCAAAATAGGTCAAAGTCAAAATTTTTACACAATTTTGATTTTAATGTTTTTTGATAACTTGATATTTATATTTAATGATTGTGTACTTTTTAAGTGAATTTTCTTACTAAAACAGTGTTTTCTGCGCATATTCTGTAATTCTAATCCTAATATTTGTACAGGTTAGTTTATCTTGGAGGCCGATTTTTTCAAAATGTGGTTCTCTTAAGGCCAACTCAGACAGCGTCGTACGACGCAGCCCGACACGATTTGTTGTCGCGTCGGGTCTGTGAGTTAAACGCAGACGCGATGGTGTCCATTGGGGGCAGTCGCGTAGTAGAATATTAAACATGTTTAATATTTCTCACGACGGCTTGAGACTGTCCCCGGCGATAAATCGGGTCGGGCTGCGTCGGCCGACGCTGTCTGAGTTGGCCTCTACACATAATATTTAAATGCTCACATCTCTGGATCTACATATCCTAGTGAAGCCATTCAAAGACCAAATTAAAGCTTATAATCAATTTTTGATATTCTAATCATGAGACTCATGTGGGCATACGTTTATTATTTCATCTTTTAAATTTATTTAACAGTTAACTTGGCAATCAGCAATACCATACAGAACATCTTATACATATTTTTCTCTAAAGAGCACATAAAAAAAAACAAAAGAAAAGTTTAAATTTTAGGGTACAAAAAATGTTTCAGATCTGGACATGAGTGGTTAATTTTTAATAATTAAAAGAAAGTGTTAATAAAACTAGTTACTGAAATTAAAACAAAACACATGGAAAAACAAAGTAAGAGCAGTTATAGAAAACATAATGATCGTACGTATCATTATAATTGGTTAGCGCTAAAATTTGTTTTATTGTATATTTATTCAGTACTATGAAGCAAAACATTCTACATGTCTATGACAAAGAATATCTTGAACATGTCGAAATTTCAGAATTCATAAGTATTATCTTAAGTATAAATGGATTTGCTGGAGGGGACGTTGGGATAGAGAAATAAAATCTTGCGTCAATGATAGGGATTAGTGATATTTTAGGGCTGGGAGCAGGTATTCTTAGATGTTCTGCATATTTTTATGTGATGTAATTTTCTTGCATCATAAATGCAAATTTTTATTCCTTTATCAATGATATATTTTTAATTGATGCTTTTTAAAGATTGTATGGAGAGTCTGCAATATGTTTATATCCCTATCTCTCAAACTTTTGGGTCAATTTCTAAGTCAGTCAACATTTTCCATCCTACTGTAGTTCAAATATCTTATGTCCAGATTGATATACAATCTTGTTTTCATATTAAACTTGCTGCATCAGTAACATTTGACTATTACTAGAGTAGTACCTTCAGTTACAACATTATAAACTAGAGTGTTTAGTAACATTATAATTTCTAGTTAATTCGTAAACATTTGTGTTGTTTGCATCAATGATCATAATATGATGTAACTTGTTTTGTGTCCTTTTGACATGGCATGTGTATCGATGTATGGTAATAAACATTGTCACTCAGTGGTTGGGGACAGTTGTATACAAGTAATATTGTAAATTGTTTTGTTTGTATTTTTTAAAAAATAACCTACACATTAGACCCCGTTCAGTAACCTTTTTACCCCATGACCCAAATTATATTTCAAGCACTCAGACACGACCCATCAAACCGGAAGCCAAATTTCTCACCTGAATTTCATGTGAAATGATTGAATACAGTATTATTATTTTTTAGTTTAAGTGAATTAAGTCAATAAATCACGTCCGTCGTTTTATACGCACGAGGGGTATCAGAAGAACCCACTTGATTCTTTTGGCAATCGATTAAAAGGTACAGTAGGCCTACTCCAAAGATCACCCACACAATCAATTTAAAACCCATAAAAATGAAAATAAACTTTGAATTACTCATTTAACAAAGCACGTAAAAGTTAACAAATGTTCCAATAAGATTTTTAAAAATGAATGATTTACAGAAATTTTACTATAGTAGGTCTACACAAATTCATGGATTTGCTACCAGAAATATGGGTTAGGCCTATGTGAAGACATAGACACATTAAATTGAAGAGAAAAATGTTTTGTCGTTATAATTATCAGCTGAAAGCCAAACACAAAAGAAACAAAAGTAATACTTTCAAGTTGTCATACCTGAATTACAAATGTTTTAATAGTACAGTATATTATTTAACATAATATAAAACGCTTTGTAACCTAACGGAATAGGCGCTATAGGCCTATAAATACTAAAATAAATGAAACTATGATGTAACAAAATTCATTACAAAAGTAAACTGCATTTTCGTTTACGGTAATTTCGTTTGTCCTTGTTCGTATTAAGTAGAGTTTTCACGATCTGAAGAGATTATGCAACCCATCTAAATGTTTCCGCGACTCAAACATTGGGTCGCGACCCATAGGTTGCGGAATGGTGCATTAAACCCTAAAAACAATTACATTGTATTGCCCAACACAGTGACTTTTGAAAATTAAGATTGATCGGCCAGATTTTTATTTTTCTTAACTGTATGGCCTAGAACTATTCCTAGGGTTCATTACCAACTACCACATGCATATTTAAGGCATGGTACAAAAATTAAAAAATAATAGGGGATAAAAGAAATTATCTGAGAGTGCCAATTTCCATATGTATTATTGGTAAACGTTAACAAAGCTAAATTTCATGGGTACAGTATAATTTTGTATAAAAAAACCACTTGAAATTGTGCCTTAAAAAATATATTACATGTATCTTGGTAATTGTTCCCACTAGTCAAACTGAAATTTTAAAGAATACTGTACCATAAGAAATGATAGAGACAATATAAAATCACAAATTGCGGCATACAAATATGTACTGTAGGGTACCATCAAAAGCATACTATCTTAACCCTTGTACTCAGTCTGGCATGCCACAATGCCACAATAAGCCAACCTTGAACCCTTATGTTTTTACTATTAGTATCTCGCATCAATATTTGTCCAGGCAAGACATCTTAAGTCAATGCAGTCCCATTTGCCATCACCTTATTTTGATAACATGCAATTCATTGAAACTAATATCTGCACATAACAACATGCAAGTGAAACTGGATGAGCTGAATGCTACGTAGTCAATCAAAACATACCTAGAACTTAACCAAATAAGAGTAGACATTTCATATTGACTTTAGCAAAATATCATGAAACAATTATACACAATTATACACAACTGAGATTGAAAAGGAGAAGCTGGAAGTTTGAGTTATGTGAATATTTGTGCAGGCACCCAACCAAATTTGATACGGTTTGATATTGTCCACATTTCCATGACAGTCGATAATGTACTGAATATAAATTTATGATTTTCTGTGATTTAAAAATAAAATCATAAATTTTTACATTTTAACCAGTAATCTACTCAGTCTATCGTGAATCGAAAAAAAGAGATTTTGTCTTAGGGGATGAGGATGAGTAGTGATCATATACTCCAAACAACTTATAGAAATATGAAACGTGAGTTACACTACGCATTATATCCATCCAGCAAAGCATTATATCTATTAGGCATTGCAAAGTTTGGCAATCAACCAATCACAGAAGACAATTATTCATATTTAATTACTTTCCCAGCTGGTGGATGCACAATAATACCAAGCTTGGTTTTTGTCAAAGTACAATTATTGAAATAATTGCATCATCCTTTTTCCTTTAACAATAAGTTAAGTTGTGGTCATAAGATTAATTTTAAACTATTATTAAAACTAAGATTATTATAGGTTAAATTTTCCACGTTGAGTGCATAAGACGTGATTTCTTGGAAATCTAACATGTATATAATGATATTGTTCCCTGTACTATATTATACTAAACAATTAAAAAATGGACTTCCTTATGTTGTGGGTGTTGTGGTCATATTAGACTGTAATATTATTAAAGAAAACCATTCAACAAGCAACATAAAATATGTTGTATTAACATTACTAGGTTAAAATTCCCATGACGTTGCATGCATAAAACATATTTTCCTAGAATTTGGATTATGAGATTCAAATCAAATTCAGTCAATCAAAGTTCTCTGTACTGTCTATGCTAAACAATTGAAGAGTAAACTTCCTTATGATTTAGGCCTAAGGAAATATAAATTGATATTGGTCTAAAACTACATGACAAAGTGTTCTGTTTAGAGTGGACTTCCTTAATCTTATGGTCATATTAGAATGTAATATCATTATAGACGATTCGACATACAGCACAAAACATTTATCAATATTTTAGGTTAAACTTTCCACTTCGGTGCATGCATATGTAACATAATTTTATGGATATGAGATTTTCATGACAGTCGAGAATGTACTGATCATATAAAGTGTAGACAATTGCTGTTGTCCAACTGTGTGCATTGAAAATGTGACGACGATGGTAACGACGACGACAATGACAATGTCGCCAGACTCTTAACCATAACTCAGGATACGAGCCTTGGTTGACATTCATATCAAAGGGCCTAATCGTACATAGGAGCCTGTCATCATCATCATCATCTTCACGGGCATCTTCATCATAATTTATAATTGTCTATAGTTTGTAAAGTATGGGAAAACTATGAATTCAAAGTGTATTTGTTCATTAATAGATGTCTCATAATGCATGAAAGCGCATTTCCAAGTATCTAGAAAACAAAACTTTCCGAAGGAGGACCCCAAGACCCGCCAACCCCAATCTAAAATTTTGCCTTCAAGCGAGAGAACAAACAAAATTTACACGCTCTTCTAATGACCCCGCCCATCCTGGGACCAGTGGCGGTGCCAGCGGGGTGGCAAGGGGGCTTAAGCCCCCACCGGACAGGTCAAGCCCCCCTTCTCCCAGCTCGAGCCTACGAGCTCAAGTCCCCCTGTCGGACAACTTGCCCCCCCCCCCCCAGAAAATATATCTTAGAGCCGCCACTGCCTGGGACCCTATCTGTGCGATAGTCAGGGTAAACTCTGTGTCCGCGTCTGACATCCCTTCGCCAACAACACCCTCTGCAATTTTTCAGGGACCAGGTCTGCTCTCGGCAGCCCTTTTCATAATGATATCTCATCTTTCCTTATTATTACTGACCACATCC